AATTCATTTTTCCCCCCCAAACTTGCTCTTTTTTCTTGCCTTTTCTCTCAGTAAATTAACGTTATAGCCCTTATTAGGCTATATGGATCCCGTCCCATACACCTCCATTTTTTTTCTTTTCCGTCTCTAATGCAGCTGTGCTAATTACTTTTACAGTAACATATACTGGGCTCTTTGTATTGTTACTTCATCCATTCTCTTCAGTTGCATCAGAATCATTACTAATATTTAGTACAGTGACCTTAGATTTCTTCAGTGGCTTCCCTTCACCTAAATGATTAAATAATAAACTTTTCTTCATGTATGCCTTTGTGCTCTTTCCCGTGAATAGCAAAAAAGCATTTTTCTTTCTCTAAAATCTTTTCTTTTTAGTGACATTCAGCTCTGTTCTCTGAATAGTGTTCTTTGTCTAAATCTTTTTCTCTTAGTGACTTTCAGCCTTAATAAATTACTTTTGACCACTTACACATGGGTCAGCAAACTTTTTGTATAAAGGATCAGATAGTAAATATTTTAGGCTTTCTGAGCCATAGGGTCTCTGTTGCAATTACTGGATTCTTGATTCTGTTTTGTACACAAAAAAGCCATAGATAACATATACAGTGAATGTGACTCTGTTCCAATAAAACTTTTTTTTTTTTTTAAACGTGGGTGGAACTCAACTTTGCTGACCCCTGCTTAAGAACACCTTTAATACCACCAAGCTTTATTTATGTTGATGCGTCTACTTAGCAAAACTTCCTACTGTACTAAGCTTACCAGGGGCAGAGTCTTTCTGTGTTTGGATCTGTATCCCTAGATCCTAAACATTACTTTTTTTTTAATCCTCACCAGAGGATATTATCTCCATTGCTTTTCAGAGAGAGTGGAAGTGGGAGAGACAGAGAGAAACATAGATGCGAGAGAGACACATCGATTGGTTGCCTCCTGCACGTTCCCTGACCGGGCCTGAGGATCGAGCCACAACTAAGGCATGCACTCCTTGCAAGGAACAATCCCTGGACCCTTCAGTCTGACACTCCACCTACTTAGCCACACTGGCCAGGGCCTAAATGTTATTTTTTTTATCCTCAAAGATGAAGCTTAGAACTGGATCACTTGGCCTTTTCTCTTCTTATCTCCCAGTTCAAAATGCTTGCATCTCTTAATAGCCAGCATTCTCTTAGATCTGCAGTTGTGTGTCAAGCCTCAGCACAATCTTCTTTGTGTTTTATCCTTTTTGCGGAAAATTGGCGTAGTCCGTCCAGCATAGCCACTCTGCTTCCTGTCATAACGTTGCTTTCCCTGCGCATACAGAGAATCCTTGCCCTTCTTGTACTGTGTTACTTTGTGGGGGTTGATGCTTGGCACACTTCTTACAGAAAGTCCGGCGGGTTTTAGGAACATTCACCATGTTTTCAAGAGCATTAGCAGCACGGAAAGCCCTAAATGTTACTTTTTAATCCACTTGGAATTAAGAATTTGCAGGTAATTGGACATTTATTACAGGAACCGTTGTGATAGGGTGCTATGTAGAAAGTCTGCTCTGAAAATTGAATGTTAAATTTTCTTCATTTGATAAGAGACATAACTAAATACTTGAAAACTTTGATATAGTAAAATTTCAAATTTGGGTGGTGATCTAAACTACAGGATTTTAAGAAAATTGCCTACCTTGGTGTATCTTAAGAGCAGCACTCTTTACTTAGGTGAGCAGGTGTGGCCCTGTTGGCCATTTTTCAGTAACTATTTACATAATTGGATGCTGTGATCAGTCTTTAAAAAGTGAGGCTAAGTGGTTAGAGCACAGCCCGAGCACTGAAGGGTGGGTCTTGGGTTCAATTCCTGGTCAAGGGCATATACCTGGATTGCAGGTTCTAATTCCAGCCTTGTTGGGGCACGTGTGGGAGGCAACCAGTNCAGGTTTGATCCCCCACCCTGGTCCAGGTATATTGGGGAGGCAATCCATCGATGTGTCTCTCTCACATCAATATTTCTTTCTCTTTCTGTCTCTCGGTCTCTCTCTCCCCCTCTCCCCCCCTCCCTCCCACTCTCTAAAAATCAATGGAAAAAATATCCTCAGGTGAGGATTAACAAAAAAGAAAACAAAAACTGAGAGGTTAAAGACTGTGTGTCAGTGTGCGTATAGAAGAGTGCCATATTAAAAGTGAAACGATTTACTGCTATGTTACGATTTTGTATAGTTGAATGAGCTTTCTGTAGCCTTCTTTACTATTCATCTGTTCGTTTTCTCTTATAATAGTGAAATAAAATTACACAAACTAACTCGTTTCATATTTAGAATTTGACTCAAGATTTTTGTAGCCTAAAAGAGGGCAAAATATAATTCACTACTTTCCTATCTGTTCTCTAGCCTTGTTTGTTGGTCTTAACTAGGGTTGTTTAAGCATGACATACAAACGTGCAAATGATACTTATTTCACCTTTTATTATCTTAACTTTGAGTTCATGGAAACTTCAAAATTCTAATCAAGGTAACCTAGTTGCTACTAGTTATATTAGAAGTAATTAATATTATAGAAGTAATATTAAATAACAAGAAGGGGACTTGCATTCATTGCTCTATAGGTAATGCTGATTTATTTCTTGGGTAGAAGCTAGGCTGGCCCATGGCTAACTTTTTAACTAAGGACAGCTTAAGTTTTTGGGGAGTTGAACATTATACTCAGGTTTTTGACTGTACAGGGGGTTGGCACCCCATGTTCTAAGGGTCAACTGTAGTTACTTTTATCTTTATTCTAAAATTTATATCTTTACTTTGCTTTAAAATAGCATGGTTGCTACTATGACTTTTTTTTTTTTTTCCCAAATATATCTTTATTGATTTCAGAGAGAGGAAGGGAGAGGGAGAGAGAGAGACAGAATAATCAATGATGAGAGAGTTATTGATCGAGCCCACAACCCGGGCATTTGCCCTGACCGGGAATCGAACCCCGATCGCCTGTATCCTAGTTCGATGCTCAACCGCTGAGCCATGCTCGGCAGGGCACTACTATGACTCTTAAGTGTAGTCCACCTTCACGCCTATCCCCCCAGAAAGGTGCAGGGGCAGATTGAGGTTTGTGGTGGGGAAATTTATAGCATAGGTGGGCTAAAGTGAAAAGTTTGATTGTAACTTTTCTTCCTCAATGTACAACTAAATGTAGATTTAGCTTTGCATTAAGCAAACTTACAATATTGAGCATCAAATAATCTGTATACAGAACTCTGGAATTTATTTGTTGCAGAATGTGGGATTTCTGCACTTTCACTAAAAGAAAAAATGTTGTTGTATAGGGTTAGTTTTTTTATAGTCAGGTCAACCAAGGAAAGGTGTTTCTTTGGGTTTCTTAAAGTAAACCATTCTGAAATATAGACATTTGTAGGATAACAGGTCTAATGACTATTCCAGCTGTTCCTGGTTATCTGAAACTAATGGAATTATAAATTATTTTGGAGTAATAAATATGAGCACCATGACTAGAATTCCATTTGTGATGTATCTTTTTTTCCAGATTAGATTGGTTACAATTCTCTCCCTTTCTTAGATCTCCTAGGAGAGGGGTATTTTCCTGCCAATCTATGCATGGGCATCTGCCCAGCAGTTTAAAGGCCATAGTATCCAGCTAGGCTCTTGAGCCAAATGGCAACCAGTGCATTATTTCCCAGTCTTTGTTAAATGAGAGAGTTGTTGTAATACCTTTAATGGGATTTTATCTGGATAATTACTTTGATCATTTGAATAATTAACCTGTTTGCTCCAAATAGTCAATTCTGACAAATTTTCAAAAAATCTAGCAGTTTTTTATAAGTGAGTTTGATTGGGGTGGGGGTGGGGGGCAGCCGAGCAAGGAGAGTGTGATTCCTCTCTATTCCCTAACTCCCTCCATACTCATAAAACAAAATAATTTTAGATCTCTACACCTATTTTAGCCCTGTGAAAGGATTATGTTGTATCTTAACTATAACCCATGTCCAGTTATATCCTATCTTAGCTCAAGTTTTGTTTTTCTTTAACTATAATTGGTTGCTGGTATAGAAAACAATTACACAGAATCCAGTTACTCAGCATAAAATCACCTTTTTGTCTTTTAAAAATGGTAGTTGTATGGACACAGGAAGAGCACTTACTCCCGGTATTAGTTAGAGCTTATTCCTATTTCTAAGTAGCTTTTGTTTATATTAATCTTCTAGTACAGTATTTCCTTTCAAGGTCCAATTCTTAGGTTCTTGTGGTGTAATAGTCATACACTGTCTTAATAAGACTTCAAATATCCCCTCTGTGAAGCTTTCTAGTATGCTTACAGGTAGAGCTTTTGCCTTCTTTCTATATGTCACTATAGTTTGAACATACACATATTTCCCTTTTTGTAAGATACCAAAGTGAGCACATTGTAGATAATCACATTTGAATGGAATTGAAGCAAATAAGGATTTTGTGTAATTAATAAATAGGTGTGGGTAGGCATTTTGGCCATAAGGATTAAAATAAGAGTGAGTTTGGTTTAAAGAATAGAACCATTTGCCTGTAGCAAGAGTTAAGTAAAATTTTAATACGGCATTTTAAGCACCAAGCTTAATCAGTTTTGATGAATGCTTCATTCAGAGGATTTGGGCACCTCATTGAGGGGTGATGGATAGGTTGCCAAAAAATACTTGGTGTTTTTTTTTGTTTGGTGGTTTTTGTTCGTTTTTAATAACAATGAGCTATTACAAATATTTTATCTAAAGCCTTGCTTCTACATACCTTCTCTATTTATGTAGATAAAATAGTTCTCTTGGCGGTTTGATTTCAGATAATGACTTTCTGTAATCTGCTTAAATCTGAATGACATTCTTAAGAATATAGAAAAATATGAGTTGTTTTGTTCCAGCTTCATAGAACTGTGCTATTTCAGCACTATCTCCAGCCCAGTAATAACCAGTCTAATTTTTTTAGACTACAGCATAGCTTTGAACTGTGTTCTGCTAAACTTAGTGTATAAAAAATAATTCTTTTTTTTTTTTTTTTTCCTTTGCAGAAATGGAATCTGTTTGGAATTTACAGAAGCAAGGTAAGAATGTTTAGGTTACCAGAAATGTTAGTACTAATCACTAATTACTATATTTTGGGGTGGTAATAACATGAATAATGGCCTACCAAATAAATAGACTTTGTATTTTGGAATGATTTAATAACTGCAGTCAAAAGGGACTAGCTACCATACCAAGATTGCTAAGGACTGGGTAGCACTAAGGCAGGGGTGGGGAACCTCTTTTCTGCCAAGGGCCATTTGGATATTTATAACATCATTCATGGGCCATACAAAATTATCAACTTAAAAATTAGCTTGAATAAAACTCGTAGATTTATTGAATTTTGAGTCCCGCCTGCGGTTGCTTTGGCAGGGCCAGACCAAATGATTTCAAGGACCGTATATGGCCCACAGGCTGGATGTTCCCCACCCCTGCAGTAAGGGAAAAAAATATATGAAAGTACTCTATCTGCTAGGTGAAGAACATGAATATTTTCTTTTGCCCTTGATTATGAAAATAAGACAGACCATAAATATTTTTAATCTAGGAAATCAACATGAATAAGTGTTCCCATTTATGGTCAATTTTTATCTGTATTTGTGTGGTAGACAAGGGGTAGCCTAAGAACTGAAATTCACAGTTCAAAAAAATATTTGCTGTTTTCGAAACCTTATTTGGGCCGTATATTCTCTGAAAAGATGGTTAGAAATCTAAAGAACAGCAAATTGGTTTCTTTTATCCCCATAAACAAGATGTGAATAGCAGGAGAGCGGAGGGACTGGATAATTTGTATCTGGGTTGTCTAAAATTTTCATAAAATTGGAATTGGCTTTCCTAATTAGTGTGTGCCTTCTTTCCAAATATATTCAAATATGGTAGTTGTGGAATACCTAGAATAAAGTAAGAGTTTTGGTTTAGAGAACTAGTCACTAATAGGTTTGGGCCCTGTAACTGAATTGTGTATCACTTGCAGGTGAATGAGAAATTCCTAGAATTTCAGAACTTGAAAGACGTAACAAATCTCTTCTATCTCCTTATTTTGCTGATTAGGAAACTGAGGCCCAGAGAGGTTACTATATAAGCTAGAAAGTAGCAGGACTGAAATGTAGGTTTCTCTGATTTCCCAACACTGCTTCTTTTTCCAACTCATTCTTGTTCTTAGGCCAGATCTTTTTCGTCTAAAACAGCAGTGGCCTAAAGATAACTATCAAGCTCTTAAACTGTTTTGAGACACTTTCTATGTATCTTTTTATTCAAACACATATGGGAAAAGGGTAGATTAGAAAATATATCCTGCAAAAGTAGACCTCTCTGTTTTTACTGTAAAATGACTATTAACTATTAAGAATGAGCATTGTCTTCATGGCAGGTTGCTAGTGGATGGCCCTTGGAGTCCTAGAAAGAATATTATATTATCTGTGGACTAAATTAGATTGACTCTTAAGCTGAGGTGAGCTTGAGTTTTTTAATATTATTTTCAGGTCTTTATACTTGTCCATTAAGTGACAGATTTTTTTAGTTTCCTATTTTTTTATTAAAGCATGTATACTTTAAAAAATTTCTGTGACAGGTAGAAATATTATGTAATAAAATCAGTTCCTCTCAGAAGAGGGGAGCATACAGCCAAATAATAGGAATTTAGAACAACAATGGTGTTTTGGCCAGATAGCTCTGTTTTATACTTTGAACCCAACAGGTCTACAGGCTTTTGCTGTTTTTGAGAATAACGGGCGGTGGTGCTCTGGGAAATAAGGAAGAAGGAAGAAATAAGTCATGATTAGGACACAACTGGTAGTTTTGCCAAACTAACTTATTTTGAAGTTTTTGGTGCTAGGTGTTACTTCAACAATTTCTAACTATAGACAATCCACACTGATTAAAATAAAATTTTACTTCATTTTTCTGAGAACAAAAGAAAAGAAATCCAAGTGTTTTAGTATTGAATTACTGACAATTTAAGCCTTTTTTTTTTTTTTTCGGTCTGCTTTTTTCAAATATACTGTTTTTAAAATCAGGAAAAACACATAAAGCTAGCCCTTGTTAATTGAACTCATCTGTAAGAGTAGAGGCTCTCATGGGCTTGAGGACTGTTGCTGAGAATCTATTGGGATACGAACTATTTAGGGTTGAGAAAAAGTGGATCATGCATGTGTTAATACAAATAGGAAATGGTCTTTAAATTGTATTTTCATTAAAAGGAGGCGCAGTTTAAATGATGATAGTTATTTTGGATTTGTTATTAGAACATTGGCATTTGAGGATTTTAAGCCTTATTTTTATTTATGTATTTTTTAACCTTCCCTCCAGATCCCAAAAGGATAATCACTTACAATGAAGCCATGGATAGTCCAGATCAATGAAGGACCAGACTGCCTATTTGTAACCTTTCTGCAGCATTAGAGCCACCGTTCATGGGGGACACAAGGCTTTTATGCTCCTAGATCTTCAACGCAGCAGAGGAACCATAAGTAGAATCACAGGATAATATATACAAATATATATATATACATATATATATATATAGTTATTTAAAAAAAAGGCAACTGAAAGTAATTAGACTTCTTAAGGAATCAAATTTATTTCAAGAGACTACACATGGTTATTTAATCTCCGGTACTGAATAGTTTTTTTTTCTTATGTTTTTGTTTTAAGTGTGAATGCAAGTGATTAATGAATACAGACTTGTTAACAAGCGTGGTTCTAAAGTTCCTGCTGTCATCAACTTGGGCAACAAATGACCTACTGGAAAGGCAAATCCACTTATGAAATCTCTGTATCTTGTTCTGTGACTAAAGTGATACACTAATCACAGGGAACCCAGAATGATTCAACATTTCCCCCCACTCCTCCCTTAATATTTTGGTTATACTTTGAGCCCTGCGAGAATGCTGGATAAATGCCTTGAAGTTTGCAGGGGTGTATTTTTTTTGTTTAAATTTTTTTTTTTTTTTTTTTTAGCGAATATGATTTGCATGTCTTGCCAGGAGTTAAGCAGCCTCTGTGGGGTGTTGGGGAAGTATTTTCTTTCCTTTAACTTTTTTGTGGGGTGGGGTTAGGGGAGGGCATTGAAATTATACAGTTCTGGAATAGTTGGTGGTACATAGTTCACTTGGCTTTAGTTACCTATTGGACTTTAACAAGTGACGAATCCATGAGTGTCATTTAAAAGTTACAGAACAAACAATTGGCTTTAGATATTTAATATGAAAAAATAATCCTGTGCCCATCTTTTAATGTAATTGTATAAGTGGGAGCAAAAATATATTCTGCTTTTCAACTGTAGGTGCTCCGGACTTGCTCTCTGTCACTAACACTAAATGTGCTGTTTTCCTTGTTTTTCATCAAACACCTAAAGAGAAACTTGTGTACCTTTTTGTAAATTCTCTTTTAATTTCTCAGAAATATCTAAAAGGGAAGAAAAATTCCATGAAATCTATAAAACTTTTTATGTTTTTAGCCAGTGAGAGGATAATAAACCCTGCCAATAGAAGATGTGTTTTCATGCAAATTATACTTCTGAGCTTATTAGCTTCTAATTATATCTTAAATATATTTTATTACTAGAGCAAAATGGGTTTTTTAAGGAAAATAATGTGAAGTTCTGGAAATTTTCTTTTGGGCAAAGAAGAGCATTAGCCCTGTCTTATCACATTGCCATCCTGTTGCACTGCAGCTTGTATATAGCATGCTAAAATAATTTTTTGTGTGTGTGCAGAAACAAAGGGTCCAATTTAAGATTGGGTGACGTCAGTGGCATAAAAACAAGTTCTCTGGCCTGAGATAGCATCACATTACACACACAGAAATTAGTATATCCATGTATGTCAAATACAGGTTAAAATAGCAGGGCATTTCTATAGAGAGGTGTAGTCTTCTAAGAAAAGACTGGATCCCCTGGGGTGTTTGGGGAGAAAGTAGCTACTTTTGCTCAAGTCCTTTGCTTAAGAAATGTCCAGTTTTGAGCGGCCGTAGTATGTATGGATGAGTTTTTTTGTTTTGTTGATTCATTTGAGGCTTTTAACAAGTAGTTTGTGAAAGAAGCTATTGGACTCAACATAGAGTAAAATATCTTTATAGTCTGGATTTCTGCCCTGCTTAGATTTTAAAAGTATAAGCATGGATTGCCAATTCCACTTGATGTAAACAAAACTTTTTATACATAATATATATGTGTGTGTGTGTGTGTGTGTGTGTGTATATATATATATATATATGTGTGTGTATATATATATATATATATATATATATATATATATATATAAGATAACTTATTGTATCAGTCCAGGTTCAGAAACTTGTGGTAGGCCAGTTTCAGATAGTTTCATTTCACCTGTAAACTGTATCACTTTTACTGATATTGTAATTTTTAAATGTATAATATGTTTACAGATGTGCCCTGCATTTAGTCTGCCTTGTTCCAATTTTGATTTTTGTTGAGTCTCCTGCCTGCTTGCCAAAAGCTAGGATGCTTCAGGCCCATGTACAATTGAAAGCAGAGGCATCCTTGAGCTTTAAAGCATTGAACAAACTGGAAAATGCAATGAAGTGAAAGAAGTCTGTGTTTTTGTGTTTTTTTTCTTTTTTCTTTTTTTTTAATAAAAATTTTCAAAAAGTTTTTTAAAAAAAGATATAAGGTTGATTAAAGGAAAAAAGGCTCCAGTTTGTTTTATAGGTTTTAAAGTTCTGCTGTGTGTTCAATTGCCTTGTGTAACCACTTGTCGCCTTAGGGCCAGATTCCACCCCCACTCCACCCCACCCTCTCCCATGTCCCCTTCCTTTTTTAAATATCCATTTTGCTTGCCTGGAATTTTAAAGCTCTTCTGTTTCACAACTCACAAGAAACTTTCTGGGTTTGTGACATACAGAGGTTGAACGAATATACATTTTAAAAGGAAAAAAAAAACCCAAGCCAGCTCCCATCTGAATTGGGCTTTTAAATTTAGAAGCAACACTTATAAAATATTTCTAGAAAGTTGTTGTTTTCCTACTTCCCTTTCATATCCCTCGGGCCTCCATGTTTAGAGAAGCCAAAAAGAGAATGTATCCCTTCTCTGTTTGTCCAAAGGTTTTTCAGAGTCTCACTCCTAAATGAGACAATGCAACATTTCACTTTGATTTCTCCACTGAAATTTCCTTCATTATATGGTTAAAGGTATATAGTTAGAAATATCTTTTAACCTTCTGGGAACCCTAGTTGCCCCATTATATTAACTGTCAGTATTTTTTGGGCATTGGGTTAATGGACTTAATTGCCTAGGTACAAGCAGGACTTTGGGACAAATATCCTTTGTGCTGTTTGGTAACACTTAACTCTCTACTTGTCGAAATCTTTCTCCTTAGGTCCTCACACAATTCCTTACAGAGCACTTATTAAAAAAAAATCTTAAGAGTTGATCTGTTTTCTCATTATTTTTGTGTAAGCTTCTAAACAAACTTCAGCTGTGATTAATTTAGCACATTTAAATAACATTAATGTGTTACTGTTTGATATAAAGAATTTTCCTTCAACTCAGAGTATTAGTACTGTAGCATAAACCAAATACAGTCTAGAGGGGATTTTTAACATCCCTCCATTATAAAGACTGAAAAAGGTGTGTGTGTGTTGAGTGCTTGTGTGTGTTTGTGTGTGTGTGTGTGTGTGGGAAAGAGGGAGATGTTAAAAATTAGTAAACAAATGTGTGTAAGACATTAGTATTCAGAGAATGAGCTTGTATTTATTTTGTGCCATTTGTTTTCATTACACAGAATAAAGTCAGGTGGTTTTAATCCTTAAAGGGGTAGTGTTTGGAAAATGGCACTAAGAATGAAATCATGACCTATTTTTTTAATAGCTATGAAGATACTAATTATGGGTGAAGATTTCTTTTAAAATCTGTCTTGATTGTAGGCTTCTGTGTCACATACCACTCTCTTGTAGATGTCTTGAATAATTCCCCTTTCCCACAAAAGACAGGGTGTATTTATCTTTCTCTTTATTCACCCCCACTTTGCTGAACTGAAGTTAATTGCATAGCCTTTCCTCTGACCTCCTAGTAATGAACTTTCATGTAAAGTATATTTACAGCATCTGTAGTTAGCCCTTTCTCCTCTACCTTCTAGGAGGCAATAGACAATAACTAGGAATTTGTTAATGCCAGTTAGTTTTTTTCCTGAAATGAATGGCTGGAAAGGTTTTCTCCACTTTAGAATTTCGTTGTTCTTAATCATCTGCTTACCTAGTCATTACTCAGAATCTGCAAAAACTTTATAAAGGAAAAAAAGTGCTGCATTGTTTTCTTCAAATAACAGTTTCTAGGGAAAGTATGACAAACCTCAGTTATGAGTGTTGTCCACAATACAAGGTGTTTATTCACAAAACAGTACATAGCAGTGGTGGTTTCATCCTTAGTCATTAGTTTGTTGCTAACCTAATTAGAGATATCTAATGGTTTATCTTGCTGTACACTTTTTTAAACATGAAAAAGCCATTTAGTGTGAAGTTGTATATCATGTACCAAATGGCCACAGGCAAAGAAATCTGTAAGAGGACTGCACTTAATTTAAAAGTCATTCTTTAAAGGCTTGCTTTAGAGAAATAGATTAAAAGTGTCATTTCCAAGGATTATGAGTGTAGTTATAACACTGGACCATATTCTCAAATAACACATGATCCCTCTTTTGTATACTTACGCTAACTGCAGAACAGACACTATAGTGGGAAAAACATTTCCGGACAATAGTTTTTATGATAGGTCTGTTGATCTTGCACCGGTTGAAGTAGATTCTAATCTGGCAGTGTCTTAAGTCCTGGGTAGTCCTGCTGAATTTTAAAAGAAAGGGTAGGGTTTGCGCATCTTCCCAAAGTGTTCTATTTGTTTAAAGGGTGGAGGGCGGAGGACAAGACTACAAGTATAATAGCTGCTCTAAATTTGCAGAGACACATAGGTTATCAGTTTTTAATATTGATGTTATTTTTGTTAATGTAATTAACAGAGTACCAGGATTCTTTTATGGTGAGAAAGATGGGCTTTTGCTTTAAGTATCATAAAATGTTTGTTTTTAAATATACTTAGGTCTGTACATCTGTTCAGATGTAAGAACCAGGACCACCCTGGGTTGGTTTTTAAAATGATGAATCATTGGCTGCACTCAAAAGCACTCCTTTAATGTGTTTTAAATTAAACTTCACAGTTTTGCTACTCAAGGGTCTTACAAATAAATAGTGTTTTAAGTTGTGCATAATAACACCCAGTGAAGCATGAGTGATATGTTGATTTTGCATTACTGGGAGTGTCAGATAGCAGTTATTGGCTAGAAACCTATGGAACAGCCATCCTCACACCTGGTAGGATTGCTGATTCAGACTTCCTTATTTATCCATACAATTTTGTTTATGTCCAGAGTTCTAAAGCCATTTTATAATACTGCAGTATCCCTTTTCTACAGCCTTAGTAAAATATCTACAAACTTTTTTTCCCCCCAATGTAGTATCCCTTTCATTGAATATCAAAGTTTTACTCCACAAACCAACTTGAGGTAAATTATATAGCTTTCCATATACCCTTTTTTCCTCAGGTGCTAAACAAAGGCTCCAAAAATGGATACTGCTTTAGTAATGTCTGCTTTATTCTTAAAATATTTCTTTTGCCTAGATGTAAAGATTTGGTGTTAACTAAAGTGATTTTAATATGTAAATATGAATGAATGCCTCTAGTTTGCCCCTGTTTGTCTATTATTAGTGTATTTCATTTATCCTTTATAGAGGAGGATCCTTTCATGATCTTGAATACATTTCATTAGGTATATTGCATTTTTAGAATGAAAATACAACTGTTTATCTGTCTTGGATTAATCCTGCTGCTGCTATGAGAAACTGAAAATCAAGAATGTGATGCACTTTTTACATTACAATATACCATACCTTTATAGGTTGCTTTGATACCTTTCCTGTAGCACAGCCACTAACAAAAGTGAATGAATTTTAAAATTCTCTTTGGGAGGGAATCAGTACAAATAACTTTATGGTATTGGCCTATGAAGGACAGTAACTTAGGAAAATAAAAATTCTGTTAGTATTACACTTTTTGGCCTTAAAATGTCTTCTACTACTGAAAATCTTTTAAACCTAGTTTTGTTTCTATTATTTCCCCTCTCTGCCTCAAAAAGAGGAGTTGGGAAGAATGGCATAAAGGGTTTGTTGCTTATTTCTCTTTTAGAAAGAAAACAATTGTCTACTATATAAGCTGAGGACTTAATTTTTTTGTTTGTATACAGAAGAGAAATGATGCTGCCTCGAGCCAATCAGATTTAGTTTAATCAAATAAATTACAACTCCAACTATTCTGCTTCTCTAGTATATTTTTACTTAGCAAAAATAAACAAGTATAGTAGGAATGCTACTTGACAAAAGTCATTTCTCAAGCACATACCCAAACTTGAAGATTGAACCCAAAATAGGAGGGAAGAAACACCAAATGGGGTGGAGGAATATGAGAAAGATATGTGGTCCAAAGCTATCTGGTTATATTTTGATGTTGCCAATATTGCAAAGCCAAAATTTTAATTTGCTTATTTAATATATTTCTTGGCCAGAGATCTATTTTTATATCAATGTGCCTTGCATGTCTATTAAAAAAAAATTGGAAAGGCCATGTAGTAATGCCTGAGATGATTGATGGTTCTTACCACCTCACTAATTTTTATGCAGTATGAAATGCTCATTCTATCGCCCAACTGGTGCTCTCTGTTTAAAGTTATAGGTCTTGTCACAAACTGGAACTATTTTATAAACTGGGGAAGTGATTTAATTTACTTTTGTTGTTTCTTTTTTTGTTCTTAGTCTGTTAGTGGCTGTTCTGTAGTGGGAAATAGTAAAAGGATTCTTCACTCCCTTTCCCTCCCCCCTTAGCACCTTCTTCAAGTAATGTGATGACACCATTTTTTGTGTGCTTTGAAAAAAGTTTCAGCTTGCTGTTTCCTTTAGTGTTATTTAAAAAAAGTGTTATAAAAAGCATTGTTTGCAAAATCTAGGGAGATAACAGTCCGCTTTAATTTGGAATTCTATGTGAGCTATGATCCAAGTTACTGGCTCTTTCCAACTTCAATTTTTTTTTTATTGTTAAAGCACCTTGCTTAGAAAAATTTTAAATACTTATGTCTGCAACAATTGTCTCAAAATA